TGAGACCACCCGCAGCTTTCTGTTCCTCCTAATAATAAACCTTAAATAAAAGGATATCACACTCTTTTAGAACAGGACAAAAATACAAACCGATCTTAGCGCGACAGAAACACTCTAAATGATGATAATATAATAAATGAATACTCACGACATGACAATATATTAACGATGGCACGGAAGCATCTACCAAATTGAAGGTAGTATCATAACTGATGACGATTCGTGTTGTTGTAACTGCCAACAATTCATAGAAAAAATGTATCATAAAGAGAGCACAGCATATACATTTACACAAAATGAAAATAGATCAGTCATAGCGTTACAGGAAAATGATTATTCGATAAATGAATACTTGCATTAAACATATTAATGGCCTTTTGATTCGCACAAACAACAGCAAGACGTGGCCACACCTGATAGAATCGAACAAATTCAGGATAATGCGACGCTATTATGTATAATGAAAACTTGAAATATAATCAAGTTACAATACACATTGAGAACACTCCGTAAGATGGTTTTCTGATAAAAAGAAATAGCTCACATGTCGTCTTGCGATAATCTCAGTTCGTTTAATTTTTTTTGTCTCCGATTTTCGACTTTGTTTCTTGTTCTTGATAGTTGCTATACCATCTGTTGTACAAACCAGACTTTGATAAATTGAGCGAGCTAATTCATGTTCCACCCGACGATCAATCTCTTGGAGAATAACTGCTGGTGTTTTTGTCGACGGTAATGCCATTTGTTCATCGCCTGTAAATAAAAAAAGGAGAGACTAAATATGATAAATCGGATTGCTCGTTTCACATACCAACATATTGAACAACAACTATAGTTGGATCTGATATTAATACATAAACTTTCTTATAAAATTTTTGTGTTAGTAATAAATGTCTCTAAAACATGCAGATCTTATATTGATAAAAAGAACAACGGCAGATTTTTCCTAAAGTAAGATAAAAGATTACTGGTTTTATAGCGATATAGAAATTCGGAATAATGGTTCAACTTGCTGTGAAACACAAATCATTATTTTCTGACAATAAGAGCTTAAATTTTACTACCTTAAATAGTGATATATAAACGCTAAAATCTGCAATTTCAGATTAACAAATAACAATTTTTTTCAAATTAACCGGGGACAACAAAAGAATCCTAGATTCAACGATCCGGGAATTTTTTTGTGAAAATGGATAATCAGAAATACGATTCTTTTGGTTTATATCGAAGCAAACGATGACGATCGACTTATATTTGAATCATCTGACAGCTTTGTATACTTTAGGGTTTTTCCATACAGCCATCAATCATGCTCGCTTACCTTTTGCACGACTCAAAAGAAGAAATGTCCGGGTATACTCATTTTGGTAACTTAATAATTTTCGTTATAATCATGTTTTTAGTCATGTGTTTTTCTCAAATTTGTAACCCCTTATCTTGTGTGTTTTCCTGTATCATAGTTTCGTACAGTGAGTGATTTATGTCCATTAATCGAACAAAAATGCGTCCTGGTAAGTGACAAAGAAGCTGCTTTTAAAAACGCTTATCGAAAACAGTTGTAAGTTACTCCTTAAGCCATCAGTGATTTTCTGTTGGTAACATCTGTTTCTATTCGGAACTAAGTGAAAGCTCTTACCATAACAACTTCTTTTTTCTTTCAAGTCCATCGATGATTCAACTTCGATGTCATGCGCATCTATATCGAAACGTATACCGGCGTACATTAAAATATCGTTCAAAGACAACAACTAACGAAAGTGAAACACGTATATCAGACTTAATTACTCTTTCATGATTTATTTTTTCTTAACTTTTCTTTTTTTTAGAATTTGATGAGCAACCGAATGAATTACCCGATGATTATGATGAGTTAACAGATGAACAAACTGATATGATGATTTATGGTTATGATTATATTTTTCGGGAACATGATTATTGTTTTACAAAAAAATCATCAGAATCAACAACAACATTATCATCGTCAACAGATCAAATCGTGTTTTATGTTTGTGAAACACGAAAAGAAACGGCCCGTCGATATATAAATGATATTCAATATTTATTATTTTTATCATCCATTGAGGAGTTTGAAGCTGAACTTAAGACTATTCACCAAAATTGGTCATCAGATTTTGTGGAATATTTCAGTTCATATGTCTTGAAAGACATTAATGAACTAGGTATAAAATTTGCAATTTCAGATTAACAAATATTCATTTTTTCTCAAATTAACCAGAAAAACAGAATTCAGACCCTCCTTATTTTCCATTTTAGCTCTCCCTTCGACTAACTCGCCTCCATCAGATCTTTATAATAGTTTATATAAATTTATTCTATCTAAAAACCCTTCCCATCGATCTAAACGCAATCTAAATGTCACTAATCCAAAAGATACTTATCTATTAATAAAAGTAATAGAGTAACAGCTATTAAAAGGAGTTCGAAATCTAATACTAAAAATAGAATACAGAAAAACATAAAAATGTAAAAAAATAGGTATTATTCTTACATTATAAGAGTCAAATCCACATTCCAATACAGAAGGTTCTATTATATTATAAATCTTATCCTTAAGATAAATAAAAGTATTAGAAATACAGATAATACAATTACTAATAAAAGATAAACTCCTAAAATTAAAACAACCGCTGATCTCACTACTCTTTTAAATCAATCATTATTTAAAATTCTAAAATGACATCAAGTGATTCTAATACCCGAAGATAATAAAGTCAAAGTATTTAATAAATGAACTCTAAAAGGGTTAATTCTTACTACTTCTCTAAGGGGTGAAACTTCAACTAACTCTATATCAATAGAAATACAAAATCAAAATAACATCTAAAAAAGAAGCAAAAAATATTACTGATCATACCCTACAGCAATAATCGTGACTGTTTTTTGGATAACTTTCGAACGAAAACAGCTAAAAATCTGTGGATCGCTAATTGATAGAACAAACCTAACCGGATGTTTCAATAACCAAGAGGTTTCTGAAAATCGGATTTGCAGGTGGTGTACCTGACAAGTCTTTGAAAGAGTGGATTGCCACGGATTAATATCCCATAGCGATTCGCATGTCTAAAATATACAAATGACAGTTCATGGCTTCCTCAACAAATCCGAGAAAGAAAGAGATTTCCATCTGCCTTGGTTAGGTTGGAGGTCAGATTTTTCTGGGAGTCGTAGGACTGTCTGAAGCTTCCGTTTAGGAAATGTTATAAAATAAAATATAAAAAAATTCTCTCGGTTCATGTCGACCTGTATCCGCCACTTAAATCACGCAGAGCAGGAATTTTTCTCTGAAAATGTATGATCAGAAATTAGTCTCTTTTGCTTTTTGACATTGGCTCGAGTCGAGAAGAGTCACAAATATTCCAAGTAGATGAGAAAAAGATATATTAGTATTAAGATGCCTAACTTGACTAGAAATAAAAATTTCTAGATATATGCCGACGTGAAACAGACGATTTTGTTTTATTTGAAGTCACACCTTTCAAGACCATAAAGATTATTGATAAGAAACGTGAGAAGATTTTTATTTTTTTACAGGTCACTGGAAGGTGAATGAATTGAACTTACAACATATTTTCCCAAAATCAATAACAAGCAACGCAATAGAGGGACTAAATTTCTTATATAAAGAGTTAACCGAATGGAGAACAGTGTCGTTGGATGGATTGGTATTACTATTAAATCATCTACAAGAGTTCTACACAAATGAAATATCTAGAGGATATTGTGGTTTGGGTAAGAAATGTCTTTGATTTTAACATAAATACTCTGATTTTTCTTTATATTCTAGATGATTATCGTTTAAAACCGTCGTTCAGTCATTTAGCACAGGATAAAGCCTGTTTATCGCTGTTGGAAGTTTGTCATCCTAATGATTTAGTTTTAAATATCCAAAATATGGAAATTGACAAACTACATAAAGCCGCTACCGATGAAACCAATGATACACCTCTGGAACCACGAAGAGAAAAACCAATGACACAATCACAATTATCACGAACATTCAATGATGAATGTGTTCAATTCGACTCACCAACGGGTAATTTTCACACGTATCTTATTCAACTTTCCGTTCTTATCTCTTTTTTTTCTTAGACATTTAGGTACTTTCATCGTCGAAATTAAATCATCCAATCAAGTGTGTATTGTTGACCAAAAACATCTAGATCAGAATGGTTACCCTTATTTCTCGTGTACATGCCAGTGATTTCGCCTTAATCGAAAAAAGCCGATTGTATACATATAATGGCAGTAAAACGGAAACTGAAAATGCCGGTGATTGAGCCCAAAGCGAATTGTACCTTACTAAGAAAGTCATTGAAAACTGAAACAGGTATTAAAAAAACCGGCACAAAAAAACCAACGTCATGGGACGCAAAAAAGTAATTAAGTTATTTTCCTCTTTGTTTTTTCTTAACATCTGCTCTCTTCTATGCACAGATTACAAATTCCAACAGCTCACGAAAACGAATATCAAGTAATTCGGTGGAAAAAGCAGGAAAATTTACTAGAGTAAGTTTGTTACATCACAAAAGTTCTTATAAAAACGCATATATTTCTTTGTTGTTAAGGATCGAACATCACTAGCGAATCTTGAAAATTTGATGTAAGAAGTTATGAAAAAAGAATGAAACCAGCGTTGTTTAGATGCAGGTTGTTTGCTTAAGTTGTTTTTTTGTGTTTTAGTTTTACAACCATTCATTAGTATTTTTATTTTAGGATAATCTTTAATTCATTTTTTTTTTCTTTTTCCTGATCCTTTTTTCTTTTTCCAAGAAGCTTAGAAAAAAGTGAGAAAATATAACAAAATAAAAATAAACGCATTTGATTGTGGTTAAGTTGATCTTGATGGTGGTTGCTTTGAGATGAAAAGCACCGTAACAATAGGCTGCTATTAGCTGCTAACAATACGCTTAGTGTTGCTAAATTATCACGTATTTCTTTGTTATAATCAAGGCAAAAAGCTCGAAAATTTTTAAATCTCGATTGATATAATGAAACTACGATAGTGCATATTCATTCTTCATCAAAAACCTTAATGTCTCACTCA